GCTTTCGTCTACTGTGCTTCTGTCCCTTCTCTAAGATCTGATCTAACAGTTGATGTTTGTCGAAGAGGAAGACGTAGGCCAGGCCCAGCCCATAGAGGCGACACCCCCCATAGAGCCATCAAACTGAATTAAGGTTCCAAAGATCACACGATGGGGTTATCAGTCTAGGGAGAACTGGCACGTTGGATAAATTCAAAATATTCTATGGGTACTCTGACTCTGAAAGTGGGGTAGCGTAGTAAGGATTATCGGTACACAAGTACAGTAAGTATTCCAGCAATGGACGAGGCCTGCACACGGATTGTGGGACTGGGTTGGAACGCAGCCAGGGTATCCTCTTCCGCTGATGTCGACGATCTCAGGATGTCATCGTTGGTATAGGAGGCCTGGCTGGCTCCAGTCCTCGCTCATTCACACGCCATCTCGTTTGTAGGGATAATGCATGTGAAGAACATCGGGCTTCCTCAAAAGCAAAGCGCGATCGTTCACCATCACAAATGGGTATGTGGCAAGAGAATCGTAATTTGCCGCGCCAGTGAGCGTCGCGTGCGACGTCGCGCCCGCTAATGACGACGATTTCAGGTGGTATTGGTCGAGAATAGACAATGTATGACCAAAAATAAACATAAATGGTCACCATGTCTTTGGAAACCAATGCTCCAATGGCAAGGGTAGTGCAAACTAAGGAAACGTCGTGCCCATTGCCGCACGCGACGATTACGACGAAACGGCAATTTACGATTCTCTTGTCTGACTCCCATCACAGATAGTGGATTAGGGGTCTGCATGTAGCCGACAAGGTGCTGAGTGGCTCATTAGTGAAGAAGAAAAGCTGAAAGAAAGTGCCGACTCCCTAGATAGAACCCATTTTGATTCCAATTTGCACGTGCCAAATTGACTTCATCTCCAACAATATGCCCTCATCCGCACAGTTGATTCCCCATAAGAACTCCACGACCGTACATACAAGTGTTTTTTCCTCCTGCAGTTTCGTTTTTCATTGAAACGCGGGCCTTATAGAGTTTGGAGGCGAAATCACCGGAAAAAAGAAGCCATCACTGAACCTATATTGGGCTACAGCGCCCCTCCCTTGCAATTTTTTGCCGCGAAACCGGTACAAAGTTGTTCGACGCGGACCACACACCCTCCCGACGCCATATTTTCAGCTTCTTTACCTGATCGCGGACCGCACCTTTAAGAATACCTTCGGATTTGCTCAAAGGTAGTAGACCACTAGCTCTGGACAGCTGCATGAAGCGTAGTTTCATTGGTTTTGTGTTACTCTATTTTCTGAGGTACAGGGCGCATCCGTGTCTTTGGGCAGATTCGCTGGAACGTCGCGTTGGGAAATTCGACTTTCTTTTAGGTGTTTTTTTTTTTTTAAGGAGCTTCTCAGCGGATGTAGAGAATCTTTCTTCTTCTCCCTAGCGTTAGTCCCGCGCCGTCGCAGGGTCCGCTGTTCTTGTTAGACGTCGCCACTTGTTCCGATCCACTGCATCTTCTGCCGTGGCTTTCACTTCGGTGAGGTCCTTCTTGATGATTCGTTCCTCTTTTCTTTCGGCGACTTCCTGTGGTTCGCTGCCCTCTGCGCTGAATTCATGCTTTCCTTATTTGGGTGGTCCTCGGGCCTTGCGTGCCACATACCATGGCATGGCTCGCTTGCTCTCGTGCCTTCACCCGCGATCGCGGAGGCGTTTGTGTGACCTCCCTGACTGTCTCTGTATCTGTCTTTGAGTAGTACCGCATCTCAGCCATCCTCATTTCAGCTGAGTGGAGCTGCATGGTTTCTTGCAGATGGGCCAGCACTCACTGCCGTAGAGCATTGTAGCCTTACCACCGCCCGGTACACCTTGCCCTTGAGCGTTCTCGAGCACCGCCGGTCGCACAGGATGCCAGTGGACTCCCTCCATCATTCCAGGCTGCGTTGATTCGGGATTCTCACCCCCGGTCCCACGCTCGCCATCAGCTTACTATTTGTCCGCTCCCCAGGTACTGGAAGTCCTCGACCCTTTCGATGCTCTCGCCGTGACGGTCTACGATGGTTCGGTACACTCTTCAGAGCTCAGAAGCTTGGTCTTCTTCACGTTCAGACGGAGTCCACTCTGAGCGAAGCTCGTCCTCGCCACGCTGCACCTTGTCCTGCGAGTTCCCGCCTGCTGCTTTGCTTCGCGGGCGATATCGTTCACCCAGTAGGGACTGGTTTTCCAGTGGTCCCTACATGAGTTCTTTTCGCCATGACATCAAAGTCAGCGAGTAAGGAGCGCAAACGCGGTCTGTAGCGCCGATTCCTTGGTGTACCCACCGTATATGTTTTATTCCTTCGTCAAGCCGGGCGGGGGCGCTAGTATCGTGACGTACAGCTGCTTTAGCCCCATCGTACATATCCTTCACTATGGAGACCAGGTGCTCCGGAACGTTTCGTTCTCTGAGCGCTCTCCAGAGTACAGGCCGAGGCAGGCGGTCGAATGCCTTCTCAAGGTCCAGGAAGGCTAGGTAGCAGGGTCGCCGCTTCTCTCGGTACTTCTCCATCAGCTGTCTGGCGGTGAAGATGGCATCAGTGGTGGACCTTTCGGGCATGAAGCCGAACTGTTCCTGCGAGATTGGGGGGGGGGAAATAGGGACAAGTTCCCTCAGCCTAGTGTTGACCAGGCGCTCGTACAGCTTCATGGTATGGGGAGTCAGCTTGATCCCGCGGTAGTTGGAGCACTCCGTCGCGTCCCCTTTCTGTTTGAAGAATGGGCACTTAGTGTGTTCCTCCTCCACGCATCTGGACATCCTTCTTCATGTTGGCCGTTACCTTGTTAGGAAGTCTGTCAGCCAACTCACCCCAGCTCTCCCAGGGCCTTCCATGCCTCTATCGGTACCCCGTCTGGACCCACTGCTTTCCCAACTTTCATTCTCCCTAGCTCACGGCGAACTTCATCCTGCGTCCAGGGAGTGATGGGGCCTGCCAACTGCTTTCTATCTGTGGGCTATCCTTGCGAGGGAATTCTTCGTTCAGAAGTCCCTCGAAGTATTCTTCCCACCTCTTCCTGACTTCGGCTGGTTTCCTGAGAATGGCCCCGTTGATGCTCTTCACAGTCTTTACGACCCTGATGTCCTGAGCCGCGCGATGCCGAGCTTTAGCCAGGCGGAAGACGAACTCGTCCATATTCCTAGTTCTGGCCTTAGCAACGGCCGCCTTAGCGAGTCGCTTGCAGCTCTTGTAGGCAGCGTAGTCTTCTGGGCTCCGTGTCTTTTGCCAGCGTTTGTATGCTTCCTTCTTCTGCTTGACGATCCTCTGGACTTCCTCGTTCCAGAACCAGGCTGCCTTGTCTCCTCTGATACCACCTCGCTGGCACACTGTAGGATGACCTCTGCTGCGTAGTTCCAGGCGTCCTGGACTGGCCCATGTGGGTCTGGGAGCCCAGCCTCCAGTATTCTTCGGCCGAGGCTATCCTTTTCTACCTTGACTCTTGCTCCCACCCTTGTGTTCTTGGGAGGATGCGCGCCGCATGCGCAGTGCATGTATCGCCATACACAGCTCCATGCAAGGTCTATGGCGATGTCTGCCAGGAGAGGCCTGTGCCTGAGGGCCCAGCTCTTCCCCAGGCAGTACCTTGATATCCTTGATGGTTTTGAGAGACGATCTTCTGACCAGGACATGGTCGATTTCCGTTTGTCTCCCTCCACTGCTGTAGGTTATCTTCTGAGTCCTCCTTTTCGCGAAGAAGGTGCTACAGATTGCTAAGTCGTGGGCTGTGGCTAGGTCAAGGATCCGTTCTCCCTCAGCGTTCTTTGCCCCTATTCCTTGGCCTCCGTGCACCCTTTCTAGACCCCTTCTGTCATTTCCCACATGGCCATTCAGATCCCCAGCTATGGTGAGGTAGTCATCTTCCGGAACCGATCTTATGGCCTCGTCCAGGGTCAGGTAGAACTCATCCTTTTCCGCCTCGGAGCAACCGGATTGTGGTGCGTACACGGTCAGTACGGTCCATTACCCTTCCTTCGTGTCCATTCTCACTCCCATGATCACTGATTCTGATCACAGAAGAGACGCAGTCGTTCAGGGGTTTCTGCCACCGCTATGACCACGCCATTCCGTTTGGTTTCCACTCCATTGTAGAAAAGTTGACACCTTCTCCAGTCTCGCGGGCCATCGCACCCTTCCATCCTTTCGGCAGGCCATAGGGACTTGGATAATGTTCCTCGTCTCATGGAGGTCGGCAACGCACGAGACCTCCGAGGCGCCCCCGTTCAGGGTCCCAATTCGAACTAGCTTCTTTGGCCGAGGTCGTTCACCCCTCGGTAGCCCTCGCATACTGACCACAGAACTCGGGCGAGGGTTCTGCGCGCCACTTCCGGGTGACGTCCTAGCATCGCAGCTGCTGTAAGCAATCTATCATGGATAATAATTTGAGACTGGTCGGGATTTTCCCCGCTCGTACAGTTGACTGGAGCTCCACCCCAGGGTAGTTTCAACCTCTGAACACGATCATTGCTTCCGATTGGCTCTGAAACCAAGTACCTCTCTGCTACCTCCAGCATCTCCATACGAGCTAGCACGCTATGGATCTCTAACGTAGGACGTGCCCTGATCACTATGGAGAGAGAAAACAGCAGAATAGGGAAAGAAAACGCTTCTTTGTCTCATGCGAGGCGTTTTCGCTTCTGCTTTTTCTCTCTCCCCCCCCCCGTTTGTGGGATAAATCTGCGTTTTTCATATTTGAACACCTTTACTACTGTATTTACTTACGTTTTGTAACTTCAAAAAGTGCATTTAAGGTGTACGCCTCTATGGTATTCCATCAGCAATACTGTCCAATGGCTCGTTTTCTAATGAAAGTCGACGACGACGTCAGCGTTCATCTCGATCGCATGATTGAATTGTGGAAAATGAACGATAAAGCCAATATGTCAATCTTTTGCCAAGTTTGGCCTAAATCAAAGCCGCAACGAGAACCTGAAAGTAAATGGTATGTAGATTACTCAGTGCTTTCTTCAGATTATTTCAGCTTGGCCCCAAAGAAATGAAGTGTTGAGAAAGGTCTGTTATTTACATTTGTAGGTTTGTGCCGCAACAAATGTGGCCGGAACGTTTCTTTCCCCCATACTGTAATGGTCCAATGTATGTAATGGGCAAGACTGCTGGACAAACTATCCTCGACCATTCTCAGGTCTTTATACCGATGACGATAGAGGTACGCTTGAGATTATTACTATTTTGAAGTACGCTTTACATCACTAGGTTTTGGCCATGTTCGGCTCGGCTCCGTGCTGAACATTATGCTCCAAGTTCCTGAGATACGGTAGGCGTAGTCCGTACTTCCTTTAAACAAGGCCCCTTTGTGGGATATTTTCATTTTAGGGCATTTGTAATCATGTCTTTGTTCAATAAAAGACAAGAGGACAGTAGAAAACAGATTGAAGATTGAAATGTTTCACAAGTGACCCACAACTCAGTACGCCATCGTTGTGATCATCACGTACTTGGTCATGTTTGGGAGGGGGAGGGGTCGTATCTGGTCAGTTCACGACTATTTCCGACACTTGAAAATGATAGTTTAATTCGTGACCGAACCGACCTTCCCTTCCGCTCCGACGGCTCGGTTCGATGAGGAAGGACAGAGGGCTGGGAGGGGGGGGGGGTCGTACCAACTCCCAAAAGGGGTCGTATTTTAGTATGGAATTAGGGGGGGGGGTCGTAATTTTCAGAAAATGATCACAACGCGATGGCGTGCCCTGCCACAACTCCATGCTCCAAGGAGTACGAAGCCACGCCTACCACATTTCGGGATGAGTACGAATATACGGTCCATATTATCGCAATCAGTCGCGTCGCTTGAGAGGGAGATGACGGACAATGAGCCCTCCCGCCAACTTTTGACCACTGGTCCGATCACTAACCAACCAGTATTGGTAGAGCAAGGCAGCTGCAGGAGAGCTCATGTCGCTCCCTCGCCGCCGCCCCTTCTGCCTTATTAACTATTAAGTTATATTGGGATTTGATGTGTCAGGAAGTTATTTTGGGAATTGATGTGTCAGCTTTTCATAGGCCCTTTGTCACTTTAAAATGATAGTCGTTTAGGATCTCTTCTACACTGGTGTTGTAGCAGATTCCACTGGAGTGAAGCGGATAAACTGGGGAAAGAGCATGATGTACTCAGCCAAGGTACGTGGATAGTAGTTGCTACTTAGAAATGAAAAGGAAAAGTATTTTTCAGGATCTTTTCCGAGGACGGTACAAGTGTAGTGCATCAGAGATCCCAACTCTGTTCTCCGTCCATTCGCTTTGGGAACCGGATCGACTACGGCAAGGATTCCATATTATGAAGACCTATGAGTGTGGCACACCACGATTACAGAATAAAACTGCTTCTTAAGACGACAAGTATTGCATTACATTGTACATTACGTTCCTTACTACATTGCTGACCTGCCACAGTCGTTGATGCTACGAGAACGGGCTATTGGAACCCGTAACGTGTATTGACCTTATCCTCTTGTGCCTATATTGCCCATTTTCCTTGAACATCGGAGCTCTTTTTATATGGTTTTGTTTAGTTGAAAATAGTATGCACCAATTTGACTAGTCGAGTAAGACGCCTAGTAGAAAAGGGTACTGGAGCTGTTAAGTTGGCGGGAAAGTTCTGTCGCTTTTTGGAACTCAAAATACCTGTCCATTACCTGAAGGGGGTGAACGGTAATGTGAGCACTTATACATCAAGAGTGGTCTTTCTATTGTTCCACACGCTTTGATATCTGCTTCTTCTTCTCTGCAATATGGACAAGAATGTTATCCGCTACCATCGCCACCGACCCCTCCAAATGCTTCTGATAGTGCAGCGCACTTCCAAAAAAGTTTAAGTCGTTCCTCATGCAATAGAGCTGGATGGCTCTCGCCTTGCAGTGGTGTAGCACATACATTGCTCTTTCTAACTGCGAGTTGCTCCCCGTAATCAATCATTACTGGACGAGAAATTACGGGAGGACCTCGAAAAGTCTGAGTTCAACCCGAGATTGAGATGAAGTCCAACTTGTATCCGCGTCCTTCTGCTTGTGAAGCGAATGGCACTCCATGAGTGTCAAAAACAGGCAAGGACCCGCCCCGCAGAACATTCATATACAATTTGATTTTTACACACATCTCTATAAAGAGAAAGCCCAATTTGAAAAAAGTGACAGAACTTTACGACACGACAGAACTTAACTTTAGTGACTGAACAACCTAATATAAAAAGGTGCTGTTGGGAGCTCCCAAAGCCACTCTACAAGACCTAGTTCTCTGGGAGCTCCTCCACAATAAGCGCCTGTAGTAGCACTTATAATGACAGCACATACATAAAAATTGTGAAGTAGCTGTCTTCAGTTCGTTAGTTAGTAATAATCGCGTTTTTCACTTCCCCAGGGTTCTTTTCAAAAGGTATGCTGCTAGGAAAAACAATGAATTCTTTCGTAGGAGTATTGCAGGATTGTTCTGTGATAGTTGTCTTTGCAGGTTCGAGGTTTTTTTGATGGTTGTTTGGGGCGGCATTTTATCATAATGTCATTAATTTGTCTTTAGATTCATTAAGGACGCTTTTTGGTATTGTTTGAAGCTTGCGATCCCTCAAAATTATGTCTTTTCATGGATTTCCTTTTCCTTGACATAGTGACGGCTAACATGTTCTGCAGACGATGGCGAGTGTTAGCCTGACTGATCTAAGCGATGCGACTCGATTTTAGCGATGGTCTCATGTCGAAAAAGTACTACATTCCACTTATTCCATCTCAGGATAAACTCTGCCTCAGCTCATTTTGAACAGTATCCATTAGGACGTTGAGATTCGATAGATGAAAGCACTGTTCCTAGCCCGACTAGTAGAACCAGAATCTTCTGTAACAGAGCGGTGGCTTATTTTGCTCAGCAAACAAAGTGTATTGTCCAGGCTCTCCATTGACATATCCTCCTCAAACTCGGTTTGGACCTTCTACGTTTTGGAAATTCCAAGTTCTTGGCTCCCTTTTGCTGTCATTTGACTTTTGTTTGCAAAATCCGACAAGAGCCGCTGTTCGGAGATGGGGGAGGGGGAGCATTTTGTACCTCTACTGCTTCACTAGTTGTTCATTTTGCCCTGGCGAAACCTGTGAACTCTTGTGAAGTTGGAGTAAGCTCGTCTAGCTCGTCTAGCTACGTTCAAACCCGTCAACCCTTGTCCT